GTTGCACTTGCTAGGCAAGCGCTTTACCACTGGGCTACATCCCAGCCCTCCTTGAGACTCTTATGTCCAGTTAACCACCAGAAAACTGGAAGTGGAGCTGTGGCTCAAAGTGGTGGTGGTAGAGTGCTAAACTTGAGTTAAAAAAGAAACAAAACCTCAGGGGCAGTGCCCCGGCCCTGAGTTCAAGGCCCAGGAATGACAAAAACAAAACAAAATCAACCAACCAACCAAAAAAACCCCAACCGTGCAGCTGAGCTCAGTGAGGAGAAAGCTCCAAGGTTCCCTGACAGCCCAGAGGTAGGCCTGGTCCCTCGCCTCACCATCCCTGTTCCCCTCCCAGCCTCACCCCAGCATCCACCCACAGGGAGCCGGCAGCCAGGTGGCTCCAGGGGAACAGCGATCCCCCCCAGACATTCATCGTCAAGAAGAGATGGGCACTGCCTGTCCTGGGCCCCCAACCCCAGGGGTGACCTCAAAGCCATAGGCGTCCACGACAGTAACGCTGCCCACGCTGCCTCCCTCCGCGGGCGGAGCCAGCCGTGTGTTGATCCTCCTCAGGAGCCAGCTGAAGAGCCGCAGGTACAGGGCTTTGGCCAGGGCGTTCCTGGGGATGCCACAGTGAGCGACGTGGAACTCAGCCCCAGGCCTGCCGCGGGTGGCACTCCTGACCCCAGGGCCACCTGGCGTCAATGGCGCTTTCCACAGGCAGCGATCTGGAGACCCGGCCGTAGGGTGTTTCCTGCAGGCCGGAGGGGTGTCTGAGGAGCCTCAGGCCTGTGATATGGCTCTGGCGGGTCCCCCCTTTCTCCAGCACCCCGGGGCTCACCATGACCCTCGTGGTCACAGCTCCCGCCAGTTGCTCTGGTGGCACCTGCAGCAACCGGGCTGCCGTGTGGATCTCGGCCCAGCTGGACACAGCAGCCACTTCCTGGAACTCCCGCTGGACAGAGAGGGTCAGGGAGACTCTGCTTGTGGACGGTTTCCCTGCCAGGGCAGAGGCGGGGCTGCGCTTCGGGCAGCTGCCCTGTCAGCAGAATCGATGAGCACGGGGGAGATCGGGGCTGGAGTGAGCCGGGCTCCAGGCGTGAGTGGAAGTCCTGACTGTTCGCCATTGCTAGGTGGACAGCTCTAGAAAGTTCTTTCCCTGAATCTCCACTGCCTTGCTGCTAAGGGGGAACTGATGTCTCTCCTATCATGGGGCTGTCATGAAAACTAAGTTAAAAAAACAAACAAACATGTATCAAGCAATGTGCTGAGCGCTGGGCATGTAATAACGGCCAGTCAGTGCCAGTCTTCTGAGGGGTGGCGCTGGGTACACGAGGCATTGGGAGGAATAGAGAGGCACAGGGCTCTGGTTTCTCATTTCTGTAATGGCAATCTGCCCGCTTTTAGGACAGCCCACGGCTTTGGAGTTTCTTAGACCCGATTTACTGCTCTGACAGTTCAAACCACACTAGCCCACCTGGTGTGCCCACAGGGGAAGCCCACCTCTGAGGACGAGAAGCAGATGTTGCCCAGATGTAGGATGATGGCCAGCACAGTCCACACCGCAGTGAGCTCCTCGGGGCGCAAGCCCAGGGCCTGCAGAGCCTTTGCCAGCTCGGCGAAGTCCAGGGCTTCCTCCTTGCCCTGGAGCCTACAGGCCCGGCCCTGCAGAGCGTGGCAAACGGTCAGGACTTGGCAGTTATGCTGTCCCCCTCAGAGCCCTGGCCCACAGCCATCCCCACCCGCCACCCCCAGGGCCTCACCCTCACCTGGTTAAGGTAGTGGTAGGTCTCAGGTCCCTGCAGGGAGAGCTGCTCCCGCTCCATGGGGCCCAGCCCCCCCAGCAGCTCATAAAACACATGGAAGCTCCTCTCAGCTTGGGCCTGAGGGCAAAAGATTGGCTCAGGGACAGAAGTGCATAGGGACCATATTCCTGTCCCCCCCCCCTTCCCACTCCAGGGCAAGGGATGGTATAGATCAAGAGGATGACTCTTAGCTGGTGCCCATAGCTCACACCTGTCATCCTAGCTACTCAGGAGGCTGAGATCTGAGGATCCCAGTTCAAAGCCAGCCTGGGCAGAAAAGTCCATGAGACTCTTATCTCCCATAAACCACCCCCAAAACTGGAAATGGTAGAGTGCTAGCCTTGAGCTGAAGAGCTCAGGGACAGCGCCCTAGGCCCAGAGTTCAAGCCCCACAACCAACAACAAAAAAAGAGGATGGCTCTTACTTGAAACACCACTCTGGAGGTCTCCAGCAGATAATGTGACACAGAGGCTCCCACGATGACCTCCCTGTGGGCACGTTCGATAGGGGACAGTGTGCCCAGGGTGCATGCCCCAGGGACACCTCTCAGCACGGGCTCGTCAACTCCCAAGAAGGGTAACCCATCACAGTGCCACCATGGCCCCGCCCCCACTCACCGCTGCAGGCAGACGCATAAGACCTGGCCGAAGCGGCTGGCGTTGGCATTCAGGATGGTCTTGGCATGGGCAAAGCTGCTGAGCACTGGCAGCACATCGTCCAGCTGTGTGTGGTATGGGGAGGGAGGGAGGGCTGGCAAGCATTCCTGGGGTAGCAGCGGCCCTCACCACCCAGGTGCCTGTGCCAGGCCCATGTTGGGGGGAGGTCAGGTTCATCAGAAGAACCCTGTCCTCAGTCTTGCAGTAGGCAATCCCTACTATTAGATCCAGGAGATACCAGAGCCCCCATAGAGAAGAAGAGCCCCTCTTGGATCCCTGGGAAATGGCCTCCTCTCCCCTGGGAGGGGAGAGCTTCCAGTGTGACGATTTACCTGGCACCCTCTGTCCCCTGCCTGCTTCTGATCCAGGCTGCTTAGGAACTGTACCATCTTCTTGGCAGCTTCAGTTTTCCCTGAGCCACTGTGCCCACTGCAGAGGAGGAGCCGGGGATGATAGAGGTGGTGGAGGAGGGGGGGAATGGAGGGTCAGCCGGGGATGATGTAGGTCAGGAGGGGATGATGGAGGGTCAGCCGGGCATGATGGAGGCCCTGCTGAGCCCAGGCACAGAGGAGTGCCAGAGGAGCACCACAGCGGCTGCCAGAAGTGCCCAGGACTGGCAGCCTCCAATGCAGGCCTCACACCTCCACCCTATTGGCCCTAAGGGTAGCCCAGAGTTTCAGACAGGCAGGGCAGCCAGGACTTACGCCAGGAGGATACAGGGGTCCTGCCCGGCGCTCTGAGATAGGCCACAGGCCGCTGCCATGATGGCATAGATGTGTCTGAGGAGGAGAGAGGGAGGATGAGATGGTTGCCACCGATGGGCATCTGGGGGCCCTGCTAGAGTTGGCAGATGGAGCCCCAGGACCTGGGCCATCCGGCCCTGGGACATGCGAGGGCCTGGCTGCCTGGGATCAAGCACAGGGCTGAAGGGTCAGCGTCACATACGGGGAGGAGCTGGGGGCCTTCCTGGGATGGTAGCTGGTCAAGACTTCCGGTGAGAAGACAGGCAGAGGCTGGTGGGGATTCAGAGCAAGCAGGAGGGGTCCCCCGAAAGTCTAGGGAAGAAAACACAAGCTCTCAAGGGGACAAAGCAAGGGAATGAAAATGGGGAGCCCAGCACCTTGGCACCTCCATTCCTGCAGGCATTCAGAAAGAGCTAGTTCACCACCCAATCCACGGACAAAGAGGAAGAAGTCGGGGTGGGGGGGAAGGGGGAGTGAGGAGGGGAAGCTGGGAGCCTTTATCCCCAGGGGAAAGGAAATCCAGACCACCATCCCTCTTCCCTGACAAGCCTCCATACGTAGATGCGGCCCAGGTGAAATCTCCTCTTGAGGCACAACAGCACGGAGCTGTCACTCACCAGCCTGTGGGGACAGCACGACAGGGAGTGGAGGAGGAGTCTGGGGGGGGGGGGGGAAGACCCCGGTAAACTCTATCACCTGGGACAAAAAGCATAGAACTTCTCAGAGCCTTAAAATAGAGCTGGGCTTTGGGCATGAGGGTGCATGCCTGCGATCCCCAGACCTCAGGAGGCTCACAAGTTTGAGGCCAGCCTGGGTTATATATTGAGACTACCTCAAAACCAACCACAGGGGCCAGGTGTGGTACCTAAGCTACCTGGGAGGTCTAAATAGGAGGATCTCGGTTCACCACCGGCTAAGGGCAAAACCTGGAGACCTCATCTAACATACATCAAAGCAAAAAGGGCTGGGCTGGGGCTTGAGGGAGGGCCTACATTCAACCCTCAGTTCCTGGTAGGGGCATCTAACCTTCACCCCTTTCCTGCCCCCTTCTGGGGGACACGATCTCCTCTACAGAGGCAATAAGGGTCCACTGGGGGGTGGGGAGTCCGAGGAAGCACGAGCCCTGGACAGCGGCTTTGGACGGCGCAGGCTCACCGCAGACGTGCCACGTCCTCCGTGTCCTCCAGGCCCTCGCTGAGGGTCCGGTCCTCGGCACCGGGGAACGGCGGCGTCCGCAGGCCCGGCCCGAGGCTCAGCTCCAGGCGTCTCTCGAGGGCGGCCTCGGCCTCATCCTCGGGCTCCCACTGCTCCCGCAGGGCCGGGCCCGGGCTCCGCTCGCGGGGCACGCGGGTCTCCAGGGTGAGCCGAGGCAGCAGCGCGGCGGGGCCGAGCCCGGGCTCCTCCTGGGGGCCGCAGCCCTGCGCCCAGTGCGCCGGGGTCTCGGCTCCCGAGGTCACCGGCTCCTCCTCACGCCGCGGAGTCCCGTCGAGGGGAGTGGAGGCGGGGGCCGAGGCATCGCCGAGCCCCCGCACCCCTTCCCCGCCAGCCCCCGGCCCCTCCCCGGCCTCTGCCGCTCCTGCCCCAGACCAGGCGCGGCTGGGAGTCGCCGCGGACGCCCTCCCCGCCGCCCGGTGGATTCTGGGGAACACCACCGCGAACTTGGGATCCGGTGTTGGGTCCTCGTCGTCCGAAGGACGGTGATCAGAGACTGGGCTCCTCGGGGCCTGCGGAGGACTCGAGCCGCCGCCAGGGGGAGCCCGCAGGAGGCCCCGGAGCCGGGCTAAACCAGCCAGGCGCAAAGCTAGACGGCGGCGCGGCGGCGCCGGCCCCTCGCCCCGCCCCTCGCCTGCCCTCCCGAGGCCCCGCCCCTCGCCTTCCCGCCCGAAGTCACACCCCTCGCCTTCCCGCAGGAGGCCACGCCCCTCTTCCGCCCGCGGTCCCGCCCCCTGCCCCTGACCGGCAGGTGACTGGATCCGTCCCCGAAGCCAGCGCAGCAGGCCCAGGGCGCGCGCCACCCGCAGGATCCACGCCTTGAAGCCGCCGCGCCGCTGCTCGGCGACCTGGGGAGCGCGGCCTGGCGGGGGCCTGGCGCGGAACTTGTGGAGCACCACGAGAGCGGCGAGCGGCGCGGGGTCCCCCGGCTCTGGGTCCCCTGCGCCGTCTCCCTCTCCCTCTCGGGCTCCTTCCTGCACCTTCCCCGCCACCTTGTCCACCTGGCGTCGCCGCGCCCCGGCCGTCGAGGCCTCGGCCCGCGCGTCGCCACCACTGGCGTCCCCGTCCGGCGCGGCGTCCCACGCGTCCCGCGAGCTGCTGCTCCCAAGCGGGCTGGAGGTCGGGGCTTTCCCACCCAGCTCGGTCTCTCGGGCTTCGGGGACCCGGCCTGCCTTGCCCCGCGCCCTCGGGGGGCGCCGTGCGGGCCCGGCGCGCTCTGGATTCGAGCCCGTGTCTGTGCCCGATCCCCCACTCGCCGCCCGGGGCCCGGTCCCCGACGAGCCTTCCCCGCTCCGCGGAGCTTGGCCCGCCCCGGACGCCCCCTCGGCCCCCTCCGATCCCGTGGCCGTTGGCTCCCCCTGGGGCAGCGGCGGCGGGGCCCCGCCGCTCTCTTGGGGTTCGCGGGCTTCGCTGTCCGGGCAGGAGCTGCCTCCATCCCTGCCCGACGTGTCCTCATCGAGGCTCCGAGGCTCCCCTCGGCTTCTCGGCGCCGAAGGTCCCCGCCGCCGTTTCCCTCTCCTCCTGCGATGGCCGCGCTTGCCGGTCCTTGCCGCTCCAGGGAGGCCCTCCTCCTCCTCGGGGCAGTCCCCGGGGCTGTCCCCCGGCTCGCAGCCGTCCACCGGCCCCTGGCCCCGACGCCGCGTGCTGCCTCGCCTCTCCCGGGCCTCTGTCTCTGGGCTTCTGCCCCCGCTGCCCCCGGCGGCAGAGGGTTTCCTACGGTCACCAGCGGCCCGCTTGTCCCCCGCGGTGTCTCGGCGGGCTTGGCCACGTCCAGGCTGTCCGTCCGCGCTGGCCGATCCAGACTCCTGCTCCCCCGAGGCTGGCTTCCTGGGGCGCGCCCGGTGCTGGGGGGCTTTGCCCTTGCTTCCGCCCATGACCGTCCCAGAGAAACCGTCCCGATCCTCTCCCTGCAGCCTGGGCTAGGGCGCCCCTGTGCCTCTGCCCTTGGTGGGGTTCTGGGGTTCTGTCCGCCCCCACTGGAGCTTTCCCCCTAGGCACCAGCATTAATATTGCAGGAGGCAGCAGGTCCTGACCACCCCCCCCCCCGACCGACAATGGAGCCCGGAAAGAGGAGACGCTGCAGCTGCAGACAAAGGCCGTGGGCAGGGCAACCCTGCTGGCACTGGGGGCCGGCCAGGCCAGCCTGGCACCCGGCCAGCCGAGGGACCCGGCTGTGTCCTACCTCACAGCTTGCCCCACTTGAGACCACAGTGAACCTGTCGGGACCCCTCCTCCACCCAGGAGCTCCAAGGGGCCATACTGGAGGCACTTAGATACACAGACAGTAGTACCCCTTGAGTTTGGGTCTTTTCCATTTTGAGAACTAATTTACCAGAAAGAGCATAAAACAGGAATATATGCCAGGTGCCGGTGGTTCACACTAGCTACTCAGGAGCCTGAGATCTGAGGATAGCAGTTCAAAGCCAGCCTGGGCAAGAAAGTCCATGAGACTGTGGTTTTTGGTTTTTTGGTCAGTTGAGGGACCTGAACTCTGGGCCTGGGCGCTGTCCCTCAGCTCTTCAGCTCATGGCTAGCGCTCTACCACTTGAGCCACAGCGCCACTTCCAGCTTTTTCTGCTTATGTGGTGCTGAGAATTGAACCCAGGGCCTCATGCATGCGAGGCAAGCGCTCTACCACTGAGCCACCTTTTGAGGCCCCCCCCCCCATGAGACTCTTATCTCCAATAAACCACCAGAAAACCAGAAGTGGTACTGTGGCTCAAGTGGTAGAGCAACCTTGAGCTGAAGAGCTGAGGGACAGCGCCCAGGCTCAGAATTCAAGTCCAACAACTGACAAAATAAAAAAACAAAAACCCACAAATATATACCTTGCCAATAAGACCCTCATTCAATGATTGAATCTAGGGCCTTATATTATACTATACAGTTCTCTGTGATTTTTTCCCCCCAATTGTGGAGCTTGAACTCAGGGCCTAGGTGCTGTCTCTGAACTCTTTTGCTCAAAGCTAGAGCTCTACCACTTGAGCTATAGCACCAGTTCCAATTTTTTCTGCTTATGTGGTGCTGCAGAATTGAACCCAGGGCCTCATGCATGCAAGGCAAGCACTCTACTACTGAGCCACCTTCCCAGTTCCTTTGTCTCCCAGGCTGGCTTCAAATGAGGATTCGTAGACCTCAGCCTTCTGATTAGATAGGATTATAGGTGTAAATCATAGATACCCAGCTAAATGTTTGTTTTTGAACAGCTAATGAAGACCACAGGTCAAAATTCATCAGGTAACTTTCTCACTTCTGACTGACCTAAGGGTCTCTGACCTTGGGTCTCCTCCCAAGATTATTTATTTCTGTATTTTCTTCAGAGCTATCCATCTAGAGAAAAATTAATCTGATTTTTACCTTTTAACACAAGTAGAAACTAAGCACACCTAAATCACAGATTGTCATACTTTCGTTGGCAGTACTAGATTCGATCTGAAGACCTTATGCTTGCTAGGCAGGCATTCTACCACTTGAGTCACTCTGCAGCTTTTTTTTGTGTGTTGGTTGATGCCAGGCGGGGCTGGACTGTGATCCTCTTATTTATGCTTCCTCCATAGCTGGGATGAAGGCTCACATACCATCACACCCAGTCACTGATTGAGATGGAATCTCATAGCTGGGCACCAGTGGGCTAGCCTTGAGCTGAAGAGGGACAGTGCCCAGGCCCAGAGTTCAAGCCCCACAACTGGGGGGGGGGGGTGGAGAGATGGAGACTCATGAACTACCTCCCCCCACAGGTTGGCCTCAAACTGCAATTCCCTGATCTCTACCTCCCTCCCAAGTAGCGAGGATTACACTGGGCCCAGTTTGCTCTGGTTATTTTTGAGATAAAATGTCTTTTGCCTAAACAGTCTGAATGGTAATCCAAAGACCCAGGGTGTGAGCACTGACTTCAGTCACAGAGCTCCAGATCCTTGTTTCTCCATTTCTTTGGATGCTCAAGATCCTCAGATCTAAGTCACACACCACAAATCCCAATGACAGCTGTACGTCTCCGTGGCCCCGGAGCCAGCAGAAGCCCCTCCTCCTCACTAGCTTTCGCCTACCTGCAATATATTTTTGTCAACTCCACCTCTCAATGCCTCTATTTTGCCGCCACCACCACCATCATCACCGCTCCTGTGGCCTACTGCAAAAACACCCCCAACTTCTCCTCCTGTGCCAGCCAACCCAGCTTCTTCCAACCAACATACTTGCTGCTAGAGAGGCACCAAGCCCTTCCATCCTGCATACCCACTAATGAAAGTTGCTCCCCTCCCACTCACAATATAAACTTGTCTCCCTAGAACTGAAATAAGACAACTACCGACACCAGCCAATACTCCAAAGTACAGGCTACGTAGAACACTCATGCTTGTGGGCATGGAAGTAAATGTTTATAAAGAATCTGTGATATTTGCAGTTGTATTCTTTTCATTTTTTAGATTTTTAAATTGTAATGATACTGTACAGAGAGGTTACAGTTACATGAGTAAGGTAATGAGTACATTTCCTACCACACATTGTTACCCCCTCCTTTGTTTTTCCCCTATTATCCCTTCCCTCCCCACCTCTCCTACTCCTCCCTCTGCCACCCCCTTCCCCCCCAGCCCCCCTGCCTCCAAGTTGTAAAGTTCGTTTCAACATAGTATCCTGTGGGGCTGGGAAGGTGGCTCAGTGGTAGAGCGCTTGCCTTGCATGCCTGAGGCCTTGGGTTTGATTCCTTAGCACCACATAAGCAAAAAGAAAAAAGCCAGAAGTGGCGCTGTGGCTCAAGTGGTAGAGCACTAACCTTGAGCTGAAGAGCTGAGGGATAGCACCCAGGCCTAGAGTTCAGGCCCCAGGACTGGACCCAAAAAAAAAAACAACATAGCGTCTTGTATGTCTCATTGTTACAATGGGTCAAGCTGTATCCTTGTTTCAGCATTTTGTTATTTCCCTCTTGCTTTTTGTTCAGTCTGATCAGACCATTGCTGTACCCACAAAACTCTGAGCCATGGCAGTGTTGGCGCTACCATTGTCTTCTTTTGTTTATCTATTTATTTATGGCAGGGCAGTATGAAGTATTGAAATCAGGGCCTTGTGAACCTTAAGTATGTGCTCTGCCACTGCGCCCCAATGACTTCTGATTGTGTTATCACCATGGTTCAGTCTGGCCTCTTGGAAGACTTAATGTCACTTTTGCATTTGTGTTAGTAGCTAACTGGATAAATAAGCTGTATTTCCCCTTAGATCTGCAGTCTCACGTCACCATGGGCTGGGTGGTCCAGCGCTCTAGCTATGACATGAGTCAGACTCAAGGTGGTTCATAGCTGCCATTTATTTCTGGAGACAGCTTGTCATGTTCGGACTTAAACATGGTTTGCTCTGCTCCAAACACTCAGAAAGTGGTTCTCTTAGCACTCTCTGGGCCAAGAGGGACCAGGGCAAGATGAGGTCTGATGAAGGCTTCCCATTTGTATAAATAACTCCTAGACAACTAAAATATCCAAGTCATTGAAACAGCTCAGTGAAGAGGTAATAAGGTGTTTATTAAAAACTCTGTTTCACACAGAGGCAGTTAAAATTTATAATTTAAAACCCAGCCCACTACAAAAAAAGGGGAGGGGGGAACAAAGGACTAAAAACTGTGCAACATTGACCAAAGACTGAGACAGAAGGCCGGGGAGGGGAGCCCGCGCTGGGGGCTGCTCCTCTCAGGCCAGGAGTAGCAGCAGGGTGGAGAGCAGGGGCGCTTGGAGCCCCTGGCCCAGCCCAGTGCACACGAGCCTCTCCAGCAGAGGCAGCCCCACAGGAAGGCCTTCGGTAGTGTGTCGTCAGCTTGCAGCCCAGACGCCTGTCCTGTTCATTCTGCTGTTGAAAAACATGGAGGGCAGCAGCTCAGGACTATCCTGAGCAAAACAGGGTACCTCACCCGGAGCCCACACACCCAGGGCAGAGGTCAGGAGTAGGATGGCCCCAGAGATCCAAAGGAGCCTGGAGAGGAGCAGACCCTCCCCAGCAGCGCCCAGAGTCCTACCTTCCCCATTGCTGAGACGGTACCCTACGGCCACTCGGTGAGGATGCCAATTACCACAGCTCCTGCAGGGGCAAAGACGGCGAGTCACCCACCATGGGGGCCTTCCTTCTCAGCACCCCAACACCCCTTGCGGCACCGGGGTGACTTACCCTCGGCCCCCCTCGAGCGTGCTCTGGATTTCCTTTAGGACTCCTGCAGGACAAGATGACGGGTAAGACAAGCAAGGATCGGGTCCCTCTCTCTTTGACTGCTGGGGTTACTGGACAGGCCTGACCCTAAATATGCTTCCCCTCTCTCCCACCCACCTCCCCTCTCCCGCCCTGACTCACTCTCATCATTGAGCAGCGCGTGCTCCATCACTGGGCCAGCCTTCTTCTCTGAAAAGCAGAGGTGAGGCAGGTCTTCCCCTGGACCCTTTGCCCAGCTTTCTCCAGACCAATGTGGTTCCCTCACTTGAGGGTGGGGTGGGGGGATGTCATTTCTCATCCCAGCCCACACTCTGTCTGCTCACCTGGGGTCCTTTACCGCCCCCCTGCCCCCAGGTGGCCCAGGCCTGGCCCCAGGGAGCAGTTCCAAGAGGCTGTCTTACCCTCTCCATCATTCTGGCTCCCCGTGTTCCTGTGGAGGGAGAGACAGTGAGGGCCTGGGCCGCACGCTTCCTGCCCTGGCTCTCTCAGGAATGAGCGGGGACAAGCCGCCTGGGTACGTGGGAGGCGGGCTGAGCTCCTGTGGGCACCAGGTGCCTCAGGGCAGGGGAGGCGGCCACAGGGAAGGCTTCCGCTCCGCACTCACCTGGCTTGGCCCGAGGCTCTCTCGGGGCCCATGCCTGTGCCGTTGCCATGGCTGGGCCGGCTGTGGTTCTTGGGTTTGACTGAATCCACCAGACACCGGGGCTCCACTAGCCACTTGGTGGAGAGAGAAAAGCGCTCGAATTCAGAAGGCGAGATCAGGTAGAAACCTGGGGGAGCCGAGGAGAAGCGGGGCAGGTAAGCCTAGTTCAGGACTCCTGGCCTAGACTAGCTGTTCCTCCCTCTCCAGCCCCTAAAAGTGTCTGGAGGTGTCCCCCCCCAGCCCCCTCCCCCACCTCACGGGAGCTCCAGGACGCCCCACCCCCACACACCTTGGCCATATTTGGTGAAGACGCAGGAGGCGATGCCGCTGACATCCTCGCGGCGGATGCAGCTGTACCGCACCTGCGGCTTGAGCAGGGGCAGGGACACCACCTGGATGTCACCCAGGTTGGTGAGGACCGCCAGGTGGTGCTCCCAGTAGTCTTCGGCACGACTGCTGCCGAAGTGGGCCACGCCGACCCGCCGGACCCTTGAGCCCTCCAGGGCCGTCAGCTTCAGCTTCAGCTTGGCGCTCACCTTGGGCAGCGTGAACACCTGGGGCAGAGCGCAGGCTGACCGCGGGGCTCATGCGGGCTGCGGCGGCCAGTGCCCCAGCCCCATGGTGAACGCCTCCCAATGCCGTGGCCAACCCTGCTGGCCTCAGCGCCTCTCAGCTCTGGGACACGTAGACCATGTGCTTGAACTCAGAGGGTGCGAGGTTACTGACTTCCCTATCTGGGTATTTTGTTTCTTCCATAGACTTAAGATCCTGCCTCAGTGTCCCCTCAGCTCAGACCCAGGAGCTCCATACAAGATCCTTCTCCACCTTTTCTGTGCCCTTCCAACTTATCAAAAAACCCCTAAAACCTCCAATAGCAGCTGTCGTTATTTGTGCCCAAGGGGGTAGGGTGGAGCCTCGTGGATGTCCCAGGGATTCCCAGAGGGCCCTGCTGCCGCCCATGTGGTACCTTGAATTGTTCCTCGGATACCACAAGCAGCTGGTGGCTGCCCTGCATGTCAGGGCTCTTTGACAGGTCATGGGCCACTTCCAGAGGCTCCGGGAGGGGCACGCTGCGTCCATCAAGCACCAGGATGCCCACCACAGGTGCGCGGTGCATCAGCTGGATCTCCTTGGCTATGGTGGAGGCAGGTCAGGACACTGTGGTCAACGCCTGGCTGAGAACAGCACCCCCAGCCCAGCCAGCGCTGCTCTCCCTGCCAGCCAGCGCTTACCCTGCTCTGCCCGGACTGGCTCATCCATTCTCCGCTCAGCAGGGGGCACGCGCAGGGAGAAGGCATAGACGGTGCCGCCGTTGGTGCCAGCCCACAGAGAGGGGCAGTGGCGGGAGCCTGCCGAGGAGCAAAGCGTTGCTCATCCAACCCCTGGCTGTGGGAGTCAGGTGAGGCTAAGAAAAGCCGTTTGGGCTTCCATCCAGCCTCGCCAGGTAGCGCAGCCTCATCAAGACAGTGAGTCGCTTTCAGACCATTTCTTCCTCTGAATGGACACGCCCGCCCGCATGAATACTCACTGTCCCTCAAGTAGGTGTCAGCAAAGTAGAGGGTCCGGACAAAGCCAGTGAAGGAGTCTTCAGCCGAGCGGGCCTCAATCTTGCGCTGCACGGGTGCCAACTCCATGTTCTGGAGGCCCGTCCGCTCTGCCTTGGTGCTCGCTGCTTGCATCTGTAAGGAGATGGGCCAGCCTGAGGCTGGAGTCTGGTCTCCCCTGCCCGGGGGCATTGACTTGCTCAATGTCAGTCCTCCCAGGGGAAGACTAACCACAGCCATGTCAGCCACCTGTCTAGCTGGGGCCCAAGCGGGCTTTGTTCAAGTGGGAGGGAGATATCTTATGGGGGCGTTGGCCAACATGTTGGGAGGGAAAAAAAAAAGCAGAAGAATAAGAAAATCACTAAGGTTTACTGGGGACTTAACTTTAAGAATCACAACTATTTCCTTATTTCCTTTTTTACTTGGGGAAACCGAGGCACAAAAGCGGTGTTACATATCCTGTCCTCATAGCCCAGCAAGGGAGCCCTGTGGTTTTGCCGATGGTCGCTCTGGCTTGGCTTGGGTTCAAGGCTTGGTCCCGGGCCTCACCTCTCCTGGGGGGCCAGCTGGCCGTCGCTTCCGGCTGGACACCCTGCTGCGGCGCATGCGGCGGAATGACTGGCGCAGGGACTTCTTGAGGGACTTTACACGGGACAGCGGGCCCTCCAAGGCCAGCTGGTCGCTGGGGTGTAACGTGCACCTGTGTGTGGGGGGGAGGGGGGACAGAGAGACACAAGGCCATCAGCACTGCAGGGCACAGGGGACCTCACAAGGCCCCAGTCCCAGACCCTGACCCCAGCTGGGCTGCTCACTTGACAAAGACCTGCCGCCGCTGCTGGTGGTCGAAGAGGCCAAAGCCGTGGCTGGTGCCAAAGGCCACGAGCCGCCACTCAGAGTGCAGGGCCAAGGAGGTGACCACGGCTGGAGGCTGGCACTGCACCAACACAAAGGGCTGGAAGCCAGGCTCGAAGTGCACAGGCCCCGGGCGGGCTGCCAGCCGCTCGTGGCCCTTCCAGCGGTAGCCTTCCTGGTCCTGCAGCAGGTCAGCCTCCACCTGCTCCACCGCGTGCTCCGCTGCCTCGTCGTTCAGCTCCAGCACCAGCACCTGGGCGGGGAAATGGGCAGCTTAGAAAAACCTGGGCACCCAGGGAAGGGGAAAAAAAATTTTGAGACTGAGCCCAGCGCTGGTGGCTCACGCCTGTCATCTCAGGAGGCTGAGATCTGAGGATTGCCATTCAAACCCAGCCTGGGCAGGAACGTCCGTGAGACTCCTATCTCCAATGAACCACCAGAAAACCAGAAGCGGCACTGTGGCTCAAGTGCTAGAGCGCTCTCCTTGAGCTGAGGAGCTGAGGGACAGCACCCAGGCCCAGAGGCCTCTGCTGGAGTCCAGCCCTGGACAGGAGGCAACTCCGGAGGTTCTGGCCACTGTAACCAAGCCACTCATATCCGTGGCCACAAGCACAGAAGGGCAGAAGGTGTTCCTGGTGAGACCACATGTGTTCCTGTCCTTGCTGCCCAGGCCCACAACCGCTCTGCCCTCAATCCCCACCCAGCCCAGCCTGCTACCTGCCCTGCTGTGCCTGCCACAGCCAGATAGCCACTGTATTTGCAGAGGAAAATCTTCTGGATGCCCAGCCTGGGGTCATCACTGTAGGGGTCGAAGGAGCCCACCTGCCAAGGAAGAGAAGCCCTGTGAGTGGCCATGGCTGGTCCCAGCCTGTTCTCCCCAGTCCCCGCCCCCTGCCTGCGCCAATTCCCAGGTTCTTGGCATCACCTTGCGGAGAGGGGGCCACTCATCCTCGCCCTGGGCGTTGAGGCTCTCGTTGGGGTCGGCATCAGTGAGGAACACGCGCACCGTGCTTAGTTTGTACAACAGCCGCAAACAGACACCCGAGGCATCCCAGAACCGCACTGTGCCATCTTCATGCCTGTGGCCAGGGCCCACCCGCCGCTGGTGAGCGATGCCAGCTGGAGGTGCTCGGGGACTGGCATTCAGCCCTTGGGTTTAGTCCTCACCCCCTCCCACCCACCCAGGAAGAGAAGGGGCCTTTGAACCACCTACCCTGTGAGCAGCAGGTCCCTCTGGGGTGGGGGCGGGGCCAGGCTGGTGCCACCATCGATGGGCCAGTCCTGGAGAAGGGACCAGCAAGTCTGAATGGGACAGCCTGGCCCCAGAGTGGGGGGGTGGGCTGGGGCTGGGGCTGGACCTACCATGGTGGAGAAGTGCGCGTTCTGCCGGCTGCCCGCGGCGATGACGCGCTCCCACAGCTTCAGCGGGATGTTGGAGACGTGGTGGGAGCAGGTGATGGCGGAGCAGTGCAGGGAGGCCAGGTAGGGCGGCTGGACGGGTGGCCAGCCCGCTGTCTGCAGGTCAATCACTACCAGCTCCTCCTCGGCCAGCACCACCAGGGCATAAGGGTCATCAAAGGCTGGGGTACAGGCTAAGGGTCAGGGCCAGGAGGAGGCAGTGTGCCCCAGAGTATGCCCCCACCTGGCTCGTGGAAAGGAAAGAGCTCCAGGGTTGAAGTTGGATTCCATTGACTTCCACACTCCTAACGGCTTCAGGGTGCGGGGACACAGGGTTTTCTCATGGTCTGCTGTCTCCTTCGCTACTGGGCAGCTTCATTTGATCTCAGGGCCATACTGACATAGATAGCCCCAAACATATGCCTTGCAGGTCTGTCCTCTGAATCCAGCTCATAGACCTCAGCTGTCTATTCAATATCTCCCCAAACTCTCTCTCTGTCTCTCTGTCTTTCTGTGCCAGTCCTAGGGCTTGGACTCAGGGCCTGGGCTCTGTCCCTGAATTTTGTTGTTATTCGAGGCTAGTGCTTGACCACTTGAGTCACACCTTCACTTCTAGTTTTTTTGGCAGTTAATTGGAGATAAGAATCTCAAGGAGCCGGGTGCTCCTGCCTATAATCCTAGCTACTCAGGAGGTTGAGATCTGAGGATCACAGTTCAAAACCAGCCTGGGCAAGAAAGCCTGTGAGACTCTTATCTCCAAAAAGGTACTAAAGGGGCTGGGAAGGTGGCTCAGTGGTAGAGCACTTGCCTTGCATGCATGAGGCCCTGGGTTCGATTCCTCAGCACCACATAAGCAAAAATAAAAAAGCCGGAAGTGGTGCTGTGGCTCAAGTGGTAGAGCGCTATCCTTGAGCTGAAGAGCTAAGGGACAGCGCCCAGGCCAAGAGTTCAGGCCCCACGACCGGACCAAAAACAAAAACAAAAAAGGTACTAAAAAAGTTGGAAGCAGAGCTGTGGCTTCAATGGTAGAGCGTTGAGCAAAAATCTCAGGGACCATGCCCAGGCCTTGAGTTCAAATACCAAGCCGGCACACACACAATGAAGATGGCTTTGAACTACAATTCTCAGATCTCAGCCTCCTGAGTAGTTAGGATTACAGGGTGCCCAGTTTCTCTTAAAAAAAAAATTCTTTTTTTGGTCGGTCGTGGGGCTCGAACTCTGGGCTTGGGCACTGTCCCTGCACTCTTCAGATCAAGGCGAGCGCTCTACGCTTGAGCCACAGCACCACTTCTGGTTTTCTAGTTGTTTTTATTGGAGATAAGAGTCTCACGGAGTTTCCTGGCTGGGCTGGCTTTGAACCGAGATCTTCAGATCTCAGCCTCCTAAGTAGCTAGGATTATAGGCGTGAGCCATGGGCGCCCAGCTCCAAACTTCTTCATGCTCAAGCCAAACATATCATTACTCTGTTTCATCAGTCTTTCTTTTCTTTCTTTTTTTTTTTTTTTGTCGGTTGTAGGGCCTGAACTCTGGGCCTGGGTGCTGTCCCTCAGCTCCTCAGCTCAAGGTGAGTGCTCTACCACTTGAGCCACAGTGCCACTTCCAGTTTTCTGGTGGTCAACTGGAGACAAGAGTCTCACAGACTTCCTGGTCTCGCTTTGAATTGAGATCCTCAGATCCCAGCCTCTTGAGTAGCTATAATCTGGCTCCTTCTGAGAGAGGAGAGGGAGAGAGAGAGAGGGAGTGAAAGAGGGAGAGAAAGATGGAGAGAGAGAGGAAGAGAGAGAGCGAGAGAGAGAGTGTGTATGTGTGTGTAGGTGTGTGGTGGGGCCTCACCTTGGCCTGGGCACTGTCCCTCAGTTCTTCAGCTCAAAGCTAGTGCTCTACCACGTGAGCCACAGCACCACTTCCGGCCTTTTCTGCTTATGTGGTGCTGAGGAATCAAACCCAGGGCCTCATGCATGCAAGGCAAGCAGTATACCACTGAGCCACCTTCCCAGCCCCACATCAGTCTTTTCCCTACCTCTGCTTAGACAAACTACAGTTCAAGGGCCAGATTTGGTGCGCTGCCTACTCCGTGTATAAAGCTGCACAGGGACATAGATGCTTCCACTTGTGACACAATGTCCACTGACTGTATTTGCTCTGTAATGGCAGAACCAAGTGGCCATGGCAGAAAAAATACTTGCTATCCATGGGCTGGAAAGGTGGCTCAGTGGTCCAGTGTTACCTTGCATGCATGAGGCCCTGGGTTCAATTCCTTAGCACCACATAAGCAGAAAAAGCCCGAAGTGGCACTGTGGCTCATGTGATAGAGTGCTAACCTTGAGCTGAAGAGCTGAGGGACAGCGCCCAGGCCCAGAGTTCAGAGCATGACCGACCAAAAAACAAAAACAAAAAACTTTGCTATCCAGCCCTTTACCATGAGTCAAGAACAAATGTTTTAGAAAGAACATTCCAAACCCCGCTATTTCCTGCAGCACAGCTGCCTTCATCCCCGACTGGCCCACGATGCCACTCCCTTGGCTCTCAGGGGCTACCACCTCCATCCTCAACCCCACCCGGCAGCCAGCCAGGGCCCCTGAACAGAGGCCAGATCTGCCCCTTCTACTTGATCCCCCTTTGCACCCCCAAAGGTCTCAGCATGCCTCTCACTCTCTGGTGTCTCTTCATCATGGAGTCCTTGCTGACCACCTCACCTAAATCAGCAGTCCTACCCCCACCCCATGTCCTCCTCACCGGCTCTTGCTTTTTCCTAGCTTCTGACGTTACCTGTCAGCCAGTTCGCTCCGTGTCAACACACTCAAGCCCACTGGGGCAGGGACTTTGTCCATTTTGTGTACAGGGCCTAGCACACAGTATTTACTCATGAAATAGGGAAGCCTGCTCAGTACAGGTGCAAGGCAGAGGAACACACAGAGAGGAGCTCCAGGACGCCCACCTCTTGTCTGAGGGGGAGGGGTGGGGCAGCCCTCATGGCATACCCATAGCCTAGCCTGCTTGAACGGTGAAGGAGCTGAGGACACAGATGGCCAATCCCAGGAGGGTGGTCTGTCCTAGAAATTCCCACTGGTTTGGGGTTTCTTTCCTACTGCTCTAGCTCCTGATGGGGATCAGATGAGCCCATCAGCAAGGGAGGGGCTTCCACATTCAGGAGCCCCACCCCCAGGAGCCCCACCCCCAGGAGCCCCACCCCCCAGGAGCCCCACCCCCAGGAGCCCCACCCCCCAGGAGCCCTCAGGCTCCGAGGCCTGGGCAACAGAGACTGGGTTGCTCTCAGTAAGAGGAGGAAAGACAGGCCAAAAAAAAAAAAAAGGAAAAGCATATGTGAGGGAGAACTAAGGGACTCGGGTATTCTGAGTAGCTCTGCCTCCTATACCTGGAGGCCCTGGCATGCGTAGGCCAGAGTCATTAGCGGAACAGGCCCGCTGGCTTGCCCGCCCTCCTGGACAGTTCCCAGAAGCCTCCTCTTGGTTTCGACAGCAGCCCTTGCTGGTCTGGCCTGTCATCCCATTTATGAGGCTGACTCACAGCTGGCCCCACACAGCCACCTGCTACTCCACCCAGAAGGCAGGCTGCACGGTGCCAAAGCCAGGACTCTTTGCCAAAGCTGGACAGATGGTAAATCTGGTAATGCAGCTCTGGCCTACTAGGCTCCGTTCCTTCCATAGAGTTTGAGACAGGCGAGAGGGGCGGCCAGGAAGGGTGAAGCTCCTGGCTGAGTCTCAAGCTGGCGAGAATGGCACCACCACTGGCCGTGGTGGTCCTGAAGAGGCACACAGTGAGGCCAGGAGGGTGGCGTGACAGGTGTGGGAATATCTACAGGGCTCTCCTTCGTTGGCTTGGCCTCCCAGCACTCCTCCGTGTCCCACGTCTAACCCTGCACTCCCACAGCCGAAGCTTGCCTACCGGCCGCAGGCTCTGCCTCAGAGAGGACGGCGAAGTCGATGACACGGGAGGTGAAGTCAAAGGCCGTCTGCTGGCCATCGCGGAGCACCGAGATGCAGTGGCGGTCCCCGTAGCTGGCCCGTGGCATGCCGCCCTGGAAGATGGTGAAGGGCAACCTGCAGGCAGGGAGAGCAGGGCCAGTTGCTGGGATTTTGGGGGGCACGCAGGGCAAGGCCCAGCCTTTGTAGCAAGGCCTGGCATCTGGAGGTCCCAACACCAGAAGGGAGGTGAGTCTCAGGAGTAGACGCTAGCTAGTACAGGACCAGACGCTAGCTCTTTCTGGCCGCAGTGGCAAATGAGAATTTGGAATGAGGTGGAGCACCCAAGATGGGGGTCCTGAGTATCGGCAGCCACCTGGTTCACTGACACCAGCCGCCCTGATGAATCCACCTGGAGAAATGGGCCTGTGGTCCAAAGAATGATCAGTTTTGCTGATCATATCATCCCTCTGGGAAGGGGCTTTGGAGGAATCAAGCTATGGAGAGGAATGAATGCTACATCTGCCCTTCCTCCCTTCCTTGGGTTGGCCTTTACCAGGCACCGTCACCCTGAGCAGGGGCCTAAGCAGTCTTTCCAGTGCTCCAGGGAGGTGCTGCAAAGCAAGATTACCTGCTCAAATACCTACCCCTGCCTGGTGGTCAGCCAGAAGATTTTGGTAATAGCTTTGCAAGGAAAGGGACCTAAAAAAAAAGGAATACGCGTGAGCAGGTCCCTCTCTTCAGACACATGCCAGCTCCCGTAGGCACAGATCACACCCACGCCCACATGTGGACCTATGCAGGGAGCCTGCCCTGCACAGGGCTGAGAGCCCCAGCGGGCATCTGAAAAGTTGGATATGTGGCTCTTTGGTCCAAGCCCTGAACTTTATGAACCCAGGTTTTGCTTCTGTAAGCCAGGTACCCTATCCCTGAGTCCCGGAAAGAATGTAGGTGTTCCTCAGGGGGAAAGGGCAATAGGACAGGGCAGGAATAGCACTGACCATAAGGCACCGAACTGCGCAAGGGCTCCGACTGCTGGGCGTCACTAGACACAGGCCACTGGCAATAGCTGCCATCGGAGTGGCAGGTGACAATCAGGCGGCCGTCCCGCTGCCAAGTGACATTCTCCAGTTGCTTTAGAAGAGGAGAGGGGGAGAGCAGTGTCTAGCATCAGGGTAGCATCCCCAGTGCCCACCCCTGGGGCCTCAGCACAGGGCCAAGCGGCACACTGGGACCCAGGAATGCCACTGCCCCCCTCACCTACCTGGCTGCAGAGGAAATGGTAGCGCACACGACTGGCCTGCAGATCCCAGATGACAACAAGGCCCCGGCTGTAGCCAATCAGGATCTGGTTCGGGTCTCGAGGGTGCTCCTGAAGAGCCTCCACCATCTCAAACACTCGCCGGTTGCGGGCCTCCTCTGGCAACCTGGGCGGGGGAGTGCCATGAGGCCAGGCAGCACCGCCCTGGGGGCACCACTCCATGCTCTGAGGGCATCCTACATGCCAACATGCAGAGGTGGTGGGGAGACGGGCAATGTGTGAAACAGGACGGAGACCTACCCAAAGTTCCCCAGGGTGGGATGGGAAGGTGGCTTAGTGGTAGAGTATCTGCCTAGTGTGCATGAAGCCCTGGGTACGATTCCTTAGTATCACATAGAGGGAAAAAGCCAGAAGCAGTGCTGTGGCTCAAGTGGTAGAGTGCTAACCTTGAGGAAAATAAGCTGAGGGACAGTGCTCAGGCCCTGAGTTCAAGTCCCAGGATTGTCGTCCCCCTCCCCCCAAAAAAAATCTCCAGTGTGCCAGGTGCCAGTGACTCACGCCTAGAATCCTAGCTACTTAGGAAGCTGAGATCTGAGGATTGTGGTTCTAAGCCAGCCCAGGCAGTAAAGTCTATGAGACTCTCATCTCCAATTAACCACCCAAAAATCCAGAAATGGAGTTGTGGCTCAGGTGGGAGAGTGCTAGTCTTGAGCACAAAAGCTCAGGAACAGTGCCCAGGCCCTGAATTCAAGCCCCAGAACTGACAGAGTCTCAATCTGGAAGACAAGGGGAAAGTAAAGTGTTTTCCTTCCTGTTCCCATAGACTCCCCAGAAAAGAAGTGATACAGTGAGCTGGGAAGGTGGCTCAGGGGTAGAGTACTTGCCTTGCATGCTTGAGGCCCTGGGTTTGATTCCTCAGCACCACATAAGCAGTAAAAAAAAAAGCCGTAAGTGGCGTTGTGGCTCAAGTGGTAGAGTGGTTGCCTTGAGCTGAAGAGCTGAGGGACAGTGTCCAGGCCCAGAGTTCAGGCCCCATGACCGGACCCCCCAAAAAAAAATTAAAAAAAAAAAAGAAGCGATACAGGGAGACCTTTTCTGGGGAACAAAGGGGAAAAGCCATGCTCCGCTCAAGAAGTGGGGCTCCTCACCACTGCAGCACGGTGTCTGAGCTGATGGTCCGGTTGTCGAGCACGTGGAAGCTGGGCAGCTGTACCACAAACACACTGCCACTCTCGGTACCCAGGTAGAGGAGCTCTCCGGAGGAGTGAGGCAGGACCACGGTGATCTGCGTGGCGCTGGGGGGAGCCCTGCCCAAGACCACAGATGAGCATGAGCTGGATGGGGTCCAGGCAGGGGCAACCCCAGGGTCCCCGGTCTCATCAGTCTCAAGGCAAGGCCTGGCCTGGGGAAGTCTCGCCCCTGAGGGCCGGGAATGGGGTTTACAGCGTCTCAGGTCAGGATGGATAGGCTGGGGACTTTCTGCCGAGGAGGAGGAAGATGACAGGGAACACCCGGGACCCTCCTGCACACCAGAGCGTGGACATGGGAGGAGGGGCACCCGAGCCCCTCCCAGTGCACCAATGCAGATGCTACAGTGGCTCCAACACAAGCCAGGCAGGCACTGGCAAGGGCATTTGGGTCAGGCTGGGCTGGGAAAGGAAGGGGACTGCGTCCTTACCCTGGGGGAGGAGGGGCAGCTTACCCTGGGGGGCCACGCAAAGTGTAGGTCTCTTCTTCCTGCAGCTCTGACACCCCACCCTTGACCTTCAGACTCCACAGGTGCAGGCTGTTGTCATCCAGCAGGGTGACCAGCTGGCACTGGGGAAGGGGATGGGGGACGGGAGTGTGTGCTGTTGTTGATCAAGGATGGCTGGCCTTTAGATACGGGGTGGCCTAGGCTGGGATGATGGTTTCCAAGAGCCCCAGACCCTGCCTTGCCCTCAGGATGGCCTATGAGCCTCCAGCTGGGGAAAGGGAGTTGGTCTAGGTGTCTGCACAGCACCAAACCCAGGGCCATGCCTCCCCCCGCTATACGAGAAGATATGAGGGTAAGAAGGACAGGGAGCCCCGTCCCCCCACCCTTCCCCCACCAAGCTAAGCCCTTACCTGGCCAGGCAGGAAGTGAATCTGCGTCACCGCGTTGTTCTCCTGATGGAGCCCCATGAACTCTACCCCGGGGGCACCATAGCTAGGAGAAAGCTCAGGAAAATGTCTGCACACTGGACACTAGTCCTTTCCCACCCTGAGAGGCGAGCTCTTGGCCCAGGTGGGAAGAAGCAAGAACGATGCCCAACGGCCCAGGGCAGGGAGGAGATGGCGGCGGCCCTGACCCAGGGACACTTAGCTACTAACTTGACCTAGAGAGCGCGCCCAGCCAGCCATGCAGGCCGGAGACCATCTCACACGCCGAAGGTGAAGCTCTATCGCTGACAGCTATTAGGCTGCCTTCCCCCGCACCCCCGAGTGCATCCCCCAAACTGGAGCTGTGCCAACAGAGCCATGGGCTGTCACCTGGTGGCACCAGTGAGAACACACGGGGCACCACTCCAGCCCATCCCCCGCAAACTTGGCTTGAGTCCTAGCACCGGGGATTGGTAACCAGGATATGGACAGGGCTGGCAATGATTAACCAGCTTGGGGAAGAGTGAGCTGTGGCAGGACCTGAGGCCCTGCCCTCCGGTGCGAACACCAGCCCAGCCCCCTCCCTCTCCTACCATGCTGTGACAGAGACACAGAGAAGGAGGAGGGCTTTTAGGAAGGAGGTATCTCCCAGCTCCCCACACTGGCTCATTCTTGGGGTACAGGATGGATGGGGGTGTGTGTCCAAGATCATGGCTCTGATCAGGCCAGCTGAAGAAGTTCAAGGGACACTCGCCCTTCCTGGAACTTGTGAGCTTGCCCTGGAAATCTCCCACAGCCCCAAGAAAGCACAGCATCAATGCTTTGGCGAAAAGACCACCCAACTGGGGTGTGCTGTGGGGTATGATCTGGAGAAGTTGCTGACCGAGTGCTGCCCTCTCCCCTTAGAGCTACCTCGCTTCTGCTGGTGGACAGAGCCCAGGCCAGCCTCTTCCTGCCACTGACCAGGAGGAAGGGAAACAGACTGTAGTGGTTCCTGAGGATGAGTGGACATTCCAGGGACAAGAGGGATCAGCTGTAACTTGCTTTGTATGGGGGTGTGTGTGTACAGCTGAAGGCAGGGAAACAGAGTCTAGGCCACTCTAGAAGAAAGGTCCAAGATGGGCACCAGTGGCTCACGCCTGTCATCCTAGCTACTGGGAGGGGGGGGGCGGGGGTGAGATCTGAGGATCAAGGTTCAAAGCCAGCCTGGGCAGGAAAGTCCATGAGACTCTTAGCTCCAATAAACCACTCAGAAAACTGTGGCTATGGCTCAAGCGGTAGAGCACAGGGACAGCGCCCAGGCTGAGTTCAAGCCCCATGACCGGCAGAAGAAAAAAAAAAAAAAAGACAGGTCTAATTCCCTTTGGGGAGGTCTGCCATGGTGGTGTGAATGGGGAGATAGAAAACCATTCTCCTGCTGGCCACTCACCTACAGGTAGACGCAACTTTCAGGCTCTTCTGAAACTCCCTGGACTCAGCAGTGCCCCCACCCCACCTCCACCAAATGAAGTTTCTAGGCCCCACACCCTGTCAGGGCAGAAGGCAAGGCTAAGGCCAAGCCTCTCTCTTTTTTGGGCATGATGCCCAGACACACAGGACCCCACTGGGCCAAGTTCAGCTTGAGTAATGAGAAGACAAAATTCACCACCCCTTTCTCACTTAAAAGACTGCCACACCAAGCCCTCCTGCCATCCAACCCAACCCCTACACCCTCAACCCACCCCGCCTCATCCCATTCCAAAGCTGGAAATCAGAACAAGTCTGCTCTCACGTTAACAGTTCACGAGCAAGGAGGGCCACAAGGCCTTACTCAACTATGGACACCCCATCCACAGACCCTCCCGGACCTTCAGGGTAGGGGTGAGCACTTAGAAAGGATACAGCTTGACTGCCCCAGAGCGGGTGCCGATGGCCAGGATACGTAAAGAAGGGCTGTAGCCAAGGGCGCTGGGCTGGTGCGGGAAGCCATGTTCCACAGTCTGCAAAGAGAGCATGTGGGCTAGGACTGCAAACTCGCCCCCCCACACCCTTGGGGCCTGCCTACCTCCTGCCTCACCATGACTATGGCTGAAGTCTACGATGGTAGAGCTGCAGCCCAGAGCCAGACTAGCAGGAAAGAGGAATATGTGATGTGCGTATACAGGTGTCATATTTATTAACTTGCTTTATGTGTTTATGTGGTACCGAGGAATCGAACCCAGAGCTTCATGCATACTAGGCAAGCACTCTACCCCTAAGCCACATTCCCAGCCCTCATTAACTTTTTAAAACTTTATTTATTTGTTTAGGTCGGTTGTGGGACTTGAACTCTGGACCCGGGTACTGTCCCTGAGCTCTTCAGCTCAAGGCTAGTGCTCTACCACTTAAGCCACAGCACCACTTCTGGTTTTCTGGTGGTTAACGAGATAAAAGCATCATAGACTTTCCTGCCCGGGCTGGCTTTGAACCATGATCCTCAGATCTCAGCCTCCTGAGCAGCTAGGATGACAGGCATGAGCCACCAGCACCTGGCTCATTAATTTTTTTTTTTTTTTGGTTGTGGGGCCTGAACTCTGGGTCTGGGTGCTGTCCCTCAGCTCTTCAGCTAGCACTCTACCATTTGAGCCATAGCATCACTTCCAGCTTTTTCTACTTATGTGGTGCTGAGGAATCCAAAATCCAACCCAGGGCCTCATGCATACAAGGCAAGCACTCTACCATTGAGCCACCTTCCCAGCCCCTATAGTAACATGTGTGTGTGTGTGTGTGTGTGTGTATAGTAACGTGTGTGTGTGTGTGTGTGTGTGTGTGTGTGTGTGTGTGTGCGTGCCTGGGCGTTGCCCCTCAGCTCTTCAGCTCAAGGCTAGTACTCTACCACTTGAGCCACAGAGCCACTTTCGGCTTTTTTCTTTTTGCTTATGTGGTGCTGAGGAATCGAACCCAGGGCCTCATGCATGCAAGGCAAGCACTCTACCACTGAGTTACCTTCCCAGCCCTCATTAACTATTTATTTATTTATTATTGGGTCCGGACATGGGGCCTGAACTCTGGGCCTGGGCGCTGTCCCTCAGCTCTTCAGCTCAAGGCTAGCGTTCTACCACTTGAGCCACAGCACCACTTCCGTTATTTTTCTTTTTGCTTATGTGGTGCTGAGGAATCGAACCCAGGGCCTCATGCATGCAAGCAAGCGCTCTACCACTGAGTCACCTTCCCAGCCCACATTAACTTTTTAAAAAGAAGGTTTTATTGTTTTTCCCTTCAGTCTCCTCCCTCCCCCACACACACTTGGAACCAGGGCCTTGCACATGTAAGGCAAGCACTTTACCAATGAGCCAAACCCCTGACCCAATGTGTATATTTAAAAATGTAAAAACTCAGGAGGTAGAGATCTGAGGATCATAGTTTGAAGCCAGCCTGGGCAGAAAAGTTCCTGAGATTATCTCCAATAAATTACTATACTCAGAAAAAGCTAGAAGGGGCACTGTGGCTCAAGTGGTAGAGGGCTAGCCTGGAGCTCAAAGAGGTTCAGGGACAGTGCCCAGGCCCTGAGTTCAAACCCCAGGACCAAAAAGCCAACAACCCCCCCACAAAACAACAACAACAACAAAATACCCAAAAAGCACAGCTACAAATACTAAATAATACTAGCTACCTGGGATGCTGCCAATGGGAAGATGGAAGTTCCAGGCCAGCACAGACAGAAAAGGTCACGAGACTTCCCTCCCAATCAGCAGCTGGGCACACCGTAGCACACAGCTGTCACCCTAGCTATGAAAGGAAACCTGACAGGGGTGGCTGAGGTCCAGGTGTGCATCTGGGCAGGGATGAGGCCCCATCTCAAAATAATCAGTGCAGAAAAAGGTTGGAGGTGTAATTTAGTGGTAGAGCTTCTACCCAACAAGCGTGAGGCCCTGAGTTCAAACACTAGCACTGGGGGAAAAAAAAAGTAGAGTGTGACTGGGACCATACTACCCAGGTCCTCCAGTGCGAGTGCGCGCGTGCACACACACACACACACACTCTCTCTCTCTCTCTCTCTCTCTCTCTGCCCTGTGTCTCCCCTCAAAGCCACCCAGTGGGTAAAAGCTTTAAAATGACCTCAGAGCAGCTGTAGATAACTCTGAGGTACTGCAGCCTCAGTCACAGGCCTCTGTGACCGCTTGGTCTGTTTCTGGAGCTTTCTCCATGCCAGCTGCAGTGACACTCACACTTGGACTCCTAGCCCTGCCTGCAGCTCGGGGCATTTCTTTTTTTTTGGGGGGTGGGGTGGGGTGGGGTGGGCGGGGATCCAGTTGTGGGGCTTGAACTCTGAGTCTGGGCACTGTCCCTCAGCTCTTCAGCTCAAGGCTAGCGCTCTACCACTTGAACCACAGCGCCACTTCCAGCTTTTCTCTTTTTGCTTATGTGGTGCTGAGGAATCGAACCCAGGGCCTCATGCATGCAAGGCAAGTGCTCTACCACTGAGCCACCTTCCCAGCCCATCTGGGCATGTCTTTAGGCAGGCCAAGAACTACAGAGCAAAATTCCCGATGGACCAGGCATATTCAGGAAGGTCCTGGGTTCTGCTTCTCCATCAGCTGCCCCACTTCCATCCAGGAGACACAGGCCCTGCCCAGCTGGGTTTGAGCTGAGACCCAACCAAAGCAACCACTTGTTCCCCAGGCTTTTTTTTTTTTTCTTTGTTTTTAGCCATGGAGAAGGGTCGGCTGAGAAGGGCCACAGTAGTGAGCCCACCTCCCTGGCCCAGGGCTCTTTAGCAGCCAGATCAGTGCTTCTCGAAGCACCAAGAGATAAGCCCCGGGAGACAGCGATCTGGCCCACAGCCTCCCCACTCATCCAGCCCAGTCCAGCAGTTCCCAGGAGGCCCAGGCTAGAGTCACATTGGGGACTGGAGCTTGGGCAACCTATGGAACTGAATGGGGGAGTGGATGCAAGAGTCCACTTTGCAGGCTGGGAAGGTGTCAATGGTAGAGCGCTTGCCTTGCATGCATGAGGCCCTGGGTTCAATTCCTCAACACCACATAAGCAGAAAAAGCTGAAATGGCACTGTGGCTCAAGTGGTAGAATGCTAGCCTTGAGCTGAAGAGCTGAGGGACAGCGCCCAGGCCCAGAGTTCAGGCTCCACGACCAAGAATCCACTTTGCAACTGGCTCTACCTGGATGGGACTACAGAGGGGGGACTCAGCAAGAGCTTCCCCCCCCCCACTCGCCCCTGCCAACCCAGGTCCCCGTTCAGCTATGTAAAAAATGCAGAGCCTGGAAAAGCCCTGGCTAGATAAGCAAGTGTCTGGAATGTAAACATTTCCCAGGAAAAGGAAGGCAGGCAGGGAAAGAACAGACTGCAGGACAAGCTCCCCCAGGGGCCCTGCTAAAGCCTTAGCCAACCTAGGGTTGCTGGGGCCCCAGGAAGCCAGCTGCCAGAGCCTTTACAAGAAGGTTCTGGAAACAGTAGCATTTTCTCCAGCACCATCATGGCAGCAGCAACTCAGGGCCAAAGCTCTGGAATGTGGAATCTGGGCGAGTGTGTGTGTGTGTGTGTGTGTGTGTGTGTGTGAGTGGGAGTGAGCGAGTGTGTGTGTGTGTGTGTGTGTGTGTGGGAGTGGGAGTGAGAAGGGGTCCCCCTAGGAGTTTGGTAAGCCAGCATCAGGCCCCACACTCCTGAGCAGAGTTACTTAGCTGGGTAGTCATGAGCTACACCTGGCTACTCAACACTTGTCTCTTGCCACATGGCCAGTGCTACCAAGAAGCTGATCCTAGCCAGTCACTGGAATCCTAACTATTCAAGAGGCTGAGATCTGAGGATTGCGGTTAGAACCCAGGAAAGTCTGTGAGACTTATCTCCAATAAAGAACTCCGAAAAAGCCGGAAGTGGTGCTGCGGCTCAAGTGGTAAAGTGCTAGCCTTGAGCAGTGTGGCTCAGGAATAGCACTGAGGCCCTGAGTTCAAGCTCCAGGACCAGGGGAAAAAAACATCTCAGGGACTTTCCTGCCAGGGCTGGCTTTGAACAGTGGGCTTCAGCTCTCAGCTTCCTTCCAGGATGATAGGCCCAAGCCACAAGCACAAGGCTCATTTTCTGTTTCTATCCAGGCACCATGCTGAACTATCTAATTATGTCTTCAGGCACCAGCAGAGATAGCCAAGGATAAACAGGTCTGCATCTGTGTATGTGCCAATCCCAGGGCTTGAACTCAGGGCCTAGGCACTGTCCCTGAGCTTTTTTTTTTTTTTTTGCTAAAAGCCAGCGCTCTACCACTTGAACCACAGTTCCACTTCCAGCCTTTTGGTAGTTAACTGGAGATGAGTGTCATGCATTCATTTTCCTGCCAAGGCCAGCTTCAAACCAAGATCCTCAGGTCTTAGCTAGAACTATCAGTGTGAGCCCCTGTGCCCACAGGCCTGTAGCTTCATGGTAGGCTCTCAGGCCACATATCGTGCCCCCAATTCATCAACAGTGTAACATCTCACTTCCTGCTACAGGTCAGTGTAAGGTTCACTCCTGGATGGCAAACAGACTCCACTCTCGTTGCAGCAAAGTCTCCGCCCAGTTACCTGTGTTACCTAGGCAACTGGCATACCTGGAAGAGGTCACATCTTCATCCGCTGAAGTCACATCTGAATTTGATGTGGCCACACCTTTCTCCGCCCATATCCTAGATAAGGCCTAGCGCAGGCCCAGACGCCCTCTTTTCTAGCTCTTTTCTAGCTCTTCTCTCTTTCCCAGCTCTCCCAGCTCTCTTTCCCAGGCCTTTCCCCACTGTGTGGAGGACCAAGATGGCCTGGTGCCAGCCGAAACGATGAATAAACGTACTCCTTACCTGAATACCACGTGTGTGGTGCTGTTCTTACTCGGCTATCTCTTTTTAAAAACCTAACTTCTCTGATATTCATGTCCAACTTTCCCTATCTCTCCCTTTCTCTTTTCTACATTTTGGCTGTGCCCTGAAGAGTGCGATGCAAGCTGGGTCCCAGGGACCCCCCTCTAGGTTCCTTCTAAAAGGCT